GGAATGCTTGTATCCAAAGATTTAGATCTTCACACATGTATAGAGTTACTAAAAACTCATTCACTCTTCAAGGGCTGTCGTTTCATTGTTGATATTTCGGAAAGAGTTTTTGGATCAACAAGCAACGAACATGTCAACACAGAAACTCAACATGACAATCAAAACAAATGCCAACAGATAATGGAAATAGATATGGTTGAAGCTCAAGCAATAACTGAAGAGGTGCATCAAACATTTGATTCTATTCAAGTAGAAGGACAAAGCATTATAGAGATTGACAACGAACAAGCTTTGGGTATTCAAGTCTTAGAGAGTGCACCGGTAATCAAAGAAGTTGCTGAAAAACCTCTACTCAACTAACTAGACGAAGATCAAATTTGAAACAAAAAGAATCCCCAACTACGATATTAAGAGAAAATGCTTCGTTAGATGAAATAAAAGTCGGATCAGCATTTGACAAGAAGAAGAGTATAATTAACTGTTTTTCCAATATAGCAATTAAAGGACATTTTGAATTCAAGGTTGTTAGATCAAGCTCAACAAGATATTCATTGAAATGCAGTGATGATAGGTGTTGTTGGTGTGTGCGTGCTTTCAGAATTAAAGATTTAACACTGTTCAAGATAGTAAAGATTGAGAAAAAGCATGACTGCTCTGTTAACACTATGAAAGCTGATCAAAGGCATGCTACTTCAAAGTTGATTAGTGGTTACATTATCGACAATCTTCGAGACCCAAGGTTTGAAGTTACACCAGCTTTCATGGCAGAGATGCAAAAATTGCATGGACTAGATATTGGGTATCACAAGGCGTGGCGTGCTATTCAACTTGCTTCCGCTTTAATAAGAGGAACTCCCGAAGAGAATTATGAATTATTGTCTTCATACTTGTATATGATGAGAAGTAAAAATCCTGGAACTTATACTAACATAAAGATAGACGACAACAGCAGGTAAATCAAAAAAAAAGTTTATTAGTATTGGTATTCAACATGCTGTCTTTAACCAGTTAAGTATTGAGTTGTAACCAGAAGTTCAGGACTGGCTGTCCTTAACTTTTGAACTTGTAATTCAAAGTTAAGGACTGCCGGTCCTTAAGTTTTGAACTTTGAACTCAAAGTTAAGGACCGCATGTCCTTAACTTTATAACTTGAAACTCTAAGTTAAGGACTGACTGTCCTTAACTTTTAACCTTGTAATCTGAAGTTCAGGACTACCTGTCCTTAACTTCTGTTAACCTTGTTTTATATTGTATTTTCAGGTTTCTATATATGTTTTATGCATATGGATCATCAATAGCTGGTTGGAATCATTATAGACCGGTGATTGCTGTTGATGCAACTTTTTTGAAGTCAAAATTTCGTGGTGTTTTAATGATTTCAGTTTCAAAGGATGCAAATAACCAAATTTTCCCACTAGCCTTTGGAATAGCAGAATCTGAAAATAACAATTCCTATGAGTGGTACTTTAGTCAGCTTCACAATGCAATTGGGAGCCGTGAGAATTTAATTTTTTTATCAGACAGGCATCAAGCTATTGCAAATGGCATTGCAAAGGTATATCCTGAAAGCCATCATGGGATTTGCATCTATCATTTGGAGCAGAACCTAAAGCGAAGGAAGGTGAAAAGTGAGGTCATAAAACTTTTCCAAAGTGCTGCAAGAGTATACAGGCGCAAAGAATTTGACCTATACATGTCAAATATAGCAAAAGTAGATAAGAAGACTTATGACTACTTGATGGAAGAACCACCGGAAAGATGGGCACGTTCTTGTAGTCCACGACGCAGATATGACATGCTCACAACAAACATAGTTGAGTCAATGAATTCTGTCCTATTAGAAGCAAGGGAGCTGCCTATATTAAGAATGATGGATTTCATTCAAGTGAAGCTACAACATTAGAAGGAACATTTTATGATGTTTCTTGTTGGGTAGAAGAGGAATTGAAGAAAAGAATAGATTTAGCATTTACTTTGAATGTAAGTATTATGTTCTATGTTTATCTTATAATTTTAATATTATTTAACATAATGTACTAACTTACAATTTTTTAACATTGAAGGTCTTCCCTGTTGATTCATGGTGTTCTAGAGTTGAAGAAGAAGGAATAACTTTCTTGGTGGACTTAAACAAAAGAACATGTGATTGTTTTCAGTTTTAATTTGATGAATTACCATGCATACATGCAATTGCAGCTATCGAGAAGAGAAACATCAAGAAGTCCAACTTTTGTTTGCACTAATACTTAAAGGAATCTTGGCTGAAAACATATGAAAGACAAATACATCCTGTAGGACATACTGATTCTTAGATTGTACCGAAGAGTGTTAAGTCACAAATTGTTAAACCTCCAGATTTCAAAGTGCCACCAGGTAGAAGGCAGAAGAAAAGGCATATTCCTGCTACCGAGTCATCAAAAATAACATTCAAATGTGGTCGTTGCAGAAGAATTGGTCATAATAGAACATCTTGTATATATTCTCCGGCTTTCCATCCATTTTCAAGAAAGCATAGAGAAGAGTAGATATATCCACTTATGTTTATCAACTCTTTTAAGTTTTTGCTATAAATTGGATTCATTTAGATTATTCTTATTTGAGCAGATGTCTGAATTTTCAAAATTTCTTTCTTCTTACCTTGTTTTTGTTTCTTTTAAGTTCAAAGATTAGAAGTTAAGGACAAGAGTCCGTAAGTTCGACTTGCAATTTCAAAACTTAAGGACAGTCTGTCCTTAACTTTGAGTTTTAAGTTCAAAAGTTAAGGACAACAGTCCTTAAGTTTGACTTGCTGGTTAAAAAGTTTGAATTATACGTTCAAAAGTTAAGGACAGGTAGTCGTTAACTTTGAGTTCAAAGTTCAAAGGTTAAGGACAGGAGTCCTTAAGTTTGAAATACAGGTTCAAAAGTTAAGGACAACCAGTCCTTAAGTTTAAATTACACGTTCAAAAGTTCAGGACAGGCAGTCCTTAAGTTTCAATTACACGTTCAAAAGTTCAGGACAGGAAGTCCTTAAATTTGTGTTTCAAATTCAAAAGTTAAGGACATTTGATCCTTAACTTTGAATTTGAAGTTCACTTACACTTAGTCATGAACTAATACTAACAAACTCAATGGACAAATCAACACTTGAGAGAAACAAAGAAATTAATAACATGATGTCTTGATATAACTTCTAAAACTGTAATTTTGCATAGCTATGACAAAAAATTACGCTATGCCAAAAAAATATAAGTGCCTTTTTAGGAATTTACAGAATATTTCAGAAGTTTTCTAAACTTGCAGAATTCACATGTATCCTTTACAGCAATTTTATACAAAAGATCATCCACAACTAACTTTCTTTAAAACTAAACTACAACTCCTTTGGACAGCAAGTTTTATTTTCACTCTCATAATCATCGCCAACATTTTCTGGTGGAGTATCATAACCAGAATTTCTTTTCCATTCACCATGTGCCCAAAGATTTGCAGCAAGTTCTTTTCTAAAGTCTTTTATGTCTTCGGGTTTGAATTTCTCCACATCCTTTCCAATCATCAGCAACTCAACATATTTGATCAGGAATGCACCACAATCAGTCCTAAGAGAAATGTAAGATATGCAGTGAATTAAACAATAAATCTAAAGAACATATAAATAATATAACAAATAACAACACGTACGATCCAATTTGGTGTGGTGATCTTTGCCATTGAATATCAAATTTGTTGAAGACATTTCCAAAAGACATGTGATGTTTGTCAAACTGTGAGAACTTTAGCAAGTGGGGATCATGCGTGCATACATTTCCATGTGATTCATTCCTGCCTCATATGGCTCACTGTATATGGAATCGTATACATCAATCTTTTTCTGATTCAAGTCCAATACACCCAAAAGAAAGTATGTCACAGCATTATCATCTTCTGAAGGAAGCCGACATGGAAAAAAGATTTTGTCAACTTCTGTCCAAGCAATTCCACATCTACGGCTGCCCCCCCACACATATGGTGTCAGAAACAACTGATTATCACCAGCACACCAAAAGTCATCAGTAGCATCATCACTGAAATCTTTATACACAAGCACCATATAGTTATCAAAAAGAATATCAGTAGTTGTGCAATGAAAAGGATGATCACAAGGGTGGTAGCATTCCTTCTTCCTCATATAATATAGGGCAATGTCAATATGCTTCATAAAAAGGCAAAAAATAAAACAAATCCATCAGTCATAAAATAATTAAAAAATGATAAATTAAGAATAACAAAATAAATGCCTTGTGAATTATCTAACCTTATCATCAAGTACAAAACTGCTATCTGATAACTCAAGGAAGAACATTTTGCTACTGATTTTTTGATGATACAATTTGTAGGGATTTTTCCTCACACCACTATCATCAACATATATATCATTTTGTCCCATGAAAATTTTGAAAATATCATAGTTAGAATTTAGTCCTGAACTTAGCCTTTCATGTTGAAAAATTAAGGACAGGCAGTCCTTAAATTTGAATTAGAAGTTCAAAAGCTAAGGACACTTGGTCCTAAAGTTTGAGTTTCAAGTTCAAAACTTAAGGACTGTTTGTCCTTAACTTNAAACTCTAAGTTAAGGACTGACTGTCCTTAACTTTTAACCTTGTAATCTGAAGTTCAGGACTACCTGTCCTTAACTTCTGTTAACCTTGTTTTATATTGTATTTTCAGGTTTCTTTATATGTTTTATGCATATGGATCATCAATAGCTGGTTGGAATCATTGTAGACCAGTGATTGCTGTTGATGCAACTTTTTTGAAGTCAAAATTTCGTGGTGTTTTAATGATTTCAGTTTCAAAGGATGCAAATAACCAAATTTTCCCACTAGCCTTTGGAATAGCAGAATCTGAAAATAACAATTCCTATGAGTGGTACTTTAGTCAGCTTCACAATGCAATTGGGAGCCGTGAGAATTTAATTTTTTTATCAGACATGCATCAAGCTATTGCAAAGGTATATCCTGAAAGCCATCATGGGATTTGCATCTATCATTTGGAGCAGAACCTAAAGCGAAGGAAGGTGAAAAGCGAGGTCATAAAACTTTTCCAAAGTGCTGCAAGAGTATACAGGCGCAAAGAATTTGATCTATACATGTCAGATATAACAAAAGTAGATAAGAAGACTTATGACTACTTGATGGAAGAACCACCGGAAAGGTGGGCACGTTCTTGTAGGCCACGACGAAGATATGACATGCTCACAACAAACATAGTTGAGTCAATGAATTCTGTCCTATTAGAAGCAAGGGAGCTGCCTATATTAAGAATGATGGATTTCATTCAAGTGAAGCTACAACGTTGGTTTTATGAAAGAAGAAATGAAGCAGAAGGAACTTTTTATGATGTTTCTTGTTGGGTAGAGGAGGAATTGAAGAAAAAAATATATTTAGCATTTACTTTGAATGTAAGTATTATGTTCTATGTTTAGCTTATGATTTTAATATAATTTAACATAATGTACTAACTTATAATTTTTCAACATTGAAGGTCTTCCCTGTTGATTCATGGCGTTCTAGAGTTGAAGAAGAAGGAATAACTTTCTTGATGGACTTAAACAAAAGAACATGTGATTGTTTTCAGTTTCAATTTGATGAATTACCATGCATACATGCAATTGCAGCTATCGAGAAGAGAAACATCAAGAAGTCCAACTTTTGTTCGCACTGGTACTTAAAGGAATCTTGGCTGAAAACTTATGAATTACAAATACATCCTGTAGGACATACTGATTCTTGGATTGTACCAGAGAGTGTTACGTCACAAATTGTTAAACCTCCAGATTTCAAAGTGCCACCAGGTAGAAGGCAGAAGAAAAGGCACATTCCAGCTACAGATTCATCAAAAATAACTTTCAAATGTGGTCGTTGCAGAAGAATTGGTCATAATAGAATAACTTGTATATATTCTCCGGCAGTCCATCCATTTTCAAGAAAGCATAGAGAATAGTAGATATATCCACTTATGTTTATCGACTCTTTTAAGTTTTTGCTATAAATTGGATTCATTTAGATTATTCTTATTTGAGCAGATGTCTGAATTTACAAAAATTCTTTCTGCTTACCTTCTTTTTGTTTCTTTTGAGTTCAAAGATTAAATGTTAAGGACAGACAATCCTTAACTTTGATTTTCAAGTTCAAAAGTTAAGGACAGACAATCCTTAACTTTGAGTTACAGGTTCAAAAGTTAAGGACAGGCAGTCCTTAACTTTGAGTTACAGGTTCAAAAGTTAAGGACACGCAGTCCTTAACTTATAGTTCAAAGTTCAAAACTTAAGGACTGTGTGTCCTTAATTTTGAGTTTCAAGTTCAAACGTTAAGGACAAGCAGTCCTTAACTTTGAGTTACGGCTTCAAAAGTTAAGGACAGAAAGTCCTTAACTTATAGTTCAAAGCTCAAAAGTTAAGGACTGTCTGTCCTTAAGTTTGAATTACACGTTCAAAAGTTCAGGACAGGCAGTCCTTAACTTTGTGTTCAAAGTTCAAAAGTTAAGGACACTTGGTCCTTAACTTTGTGTTCAAAGTTCAAAAGTTAAGGACACTTGGTCCTTAACTTTGAATTTGAAGTTCAATTACACTTATTCATGAATTAATACTAACAAACTCCATGGACAAATCAACACTTGAGAGAAACAAAGAAATTAATAACATGATGCCTTGATATTAATTCTGAAATTGTAATTTTGCATAGCTGTGACAAAAAATTTTGCTACGCAAACAAAATATAAGTGCATTTTGAGGAATTTACAGAATATTTCAGAAGTTTTCTGAACTTGCAGAATTTATATGGATTCTTTACAACAATTTTATTCAAAAGATCAACCACAACTAACTTTCTTTACAACTAAACTACAACTCCTTTGGATAGCAAGTTTAATTTTCACTCTCATAGTCATCGCCAACATTTTCTGGTGGTGTATCATAACCAAAATTTCTTTTCCACTCACTATGTGCCCAAAGATTTGCGGCAAGTTCTTTTCTAAAGTCTTTTATGTCTTCAGGTTGGAATTTCTCCACATCCATTCCAATCATCAACAACTCCACATTCTTGATCAGGAATGCACCACAATCAGTCCTAAGAAAAATGTAAGATATGCAGTGAATTAAACAATAAATATAAAGTACATATCAATAATATAACAAATAACAACACGTACGATCCAGTTTGGTGTGGTGATCTTTGCCACTGAATATCAAATTTGTTGAAGGCATTTTCAAAAGACTTGTGATGTTTGTCAAACTGTGAGAACTTTAGCAAGTGGGGGATCATGCGTGTATACATTTCCATGTGATTCATTCTTGCCTCATATGGCTCATTATATATGGAATCGTATACATCAATCTTTTTCTGATTCAAGTCCAATACCCCTAAAAGAAAGTATGTCACAGCATTATCATCTTCTGAAGGAAGCCAACATGGAAAAAAGATTTTGTCAACCTCTGTCCAAGCAATTCCACATCTACGACTGTCCCCCCACACATATGGTGTCAGAAACAACTGATTATCACCAGCACACCAAAAGTCATCAGTAGCATCTTCACTGAAATCTTTATACACAAGCACCATATAGTTATCAAAAAGAATATCAGTAGTTGTGCAATGAAAAGGATAGTCGCGAGGGTGGTAGCATTCCTTCTTTCTCAGGGCAATGTCAATATGCTTCATAAAAAGGCAAAAAATAAAACGAATCCATCAGTCATAGAATAATTAAAAATGATAAATTAAGAATAAAGAAAATAAATGCCTTGCAAATTATCTAACCTTATCATCAAGTACAAAGCTACTATCTGAAAGCTCAAGGAAGAACATTTTGCTACTGATTTTTTGATGATACAATTTGTATGGGTTCTTTCTCACACCATTATCATCAACATATATACCAGTTTGTCCCCTGAAAATATCAAAGTTAAAAGTTAGTCCTGAACTTAGCCTTTCAAGTTGAAAAATTAAGGACAGGCAATCCTTAAATTTGAATTACAGGTTCAAAAGCTAAGGACACTTGGTCCTGAAGTTTGAGTTTCAAGTTCAAAAGTTAAGGACACATGGTCCTTAACTTAAATTACAAGTTTAAAAGTTCAGGACACTCTGTCCTTAACTTTGAGTTCAAAGTTCAAAACTTAAGGATTGTCTGTCCTTAACTTTGAGTATCAAGTTCAAAAGTTAAGGACATCAGTCCTTAAGTTTGACTTGCAGGTTCAAAAGTTAAGGACAGGTAGTCCTTAACTTTGAATTGCAGGTTAGAAAGTTAAGGACACATGGTCCTAAACTTTGACTTACAAGTTCAAAAGTTCAGGACATTTAGTCCTGAACTTTGATTTTCAAGTTAAAAAGTTAAGGACATTTGCTCCTTAACTTTGATTTTCAAATTCAAAAGTTAAGGACACTTGGTCCTAAACTTAGACTTACAATCACAGAAGTTAAGGACAGTTAACTTTAGCAATTTCAATATCATTACTGAAATACATTAAGGGACTTACTCTTTTTTGCAACCTCTCCTTTTCTTCTTGCCCAACCATACAATGAATTTCTTAAATAATTTTGCATCATCTGTGGCATAATGAAAAATACACCTACGAGTATATGTTGATTTTATCCAGCCTGAACTCTGGGGAGTATTTTGATTGTCTGCCATCGATGTTCCTTTTTTTCTTTCCTGATCAAAAGGAGATTTCAACTGCCAACTAAGCTTCTTGTTCCTTTTACCTCGACCAAGCTCTTCTTCAACATTTCCTTCAACCTCGATAGGCAAACCCCCATCAATTCTCATTTGTACTCTTGGGGGAGTAGGAGTAAGAATAGAAAATGACGGACCATCATAACCAATACTATCTCTCTTTCTTTTCCTCGTATATTGGTTAAGATCTTCATCATTTTTTTCCTCTGCAGGCAACACTATATAAATATATTAGTTTGCTGCAAGTCGTCAAATGAAGAGACAAAATTTCAATTATGAATATAATATTTAGGATACAATCATTACCTGTGTTGTTCACACTGCCTTCTTGTATTTTTTCAAGAGATAATTCAGCTAAAATATTGCTTGCATCATTTTCTTTATCTTCCAGCTGCACATTTTCTTTATCTTGTAACTGTTCTCCATGTTCTTCAGTTGCAAGTTCACAAGATTCTGCAAAATATTTACAACAGCTAACACAATTACTACTTGTCACTAATCTTTGATTAAAACAAACATGTATAAAATTAAAAAAAATACTGTCTAACCGTTTGCAATAGTCAAGATCATCCCAATTACATCATTATTTTCGCTAGCATTTTCTTGGGTTCCAATATTGTCAGTAAGAGAGGGAGGTGTAGGGAGATCACATGCTCCATCTATGAATTTGGAAACAATCTCACTTCTGCTTGTTCCTTCGGTATTTTCTAGGTCTTGACATTGTACTCCAGTTTCCTCTTGATACTCCACTCCAGCTTCTTCCCTTGCAGCTTCAAAAGATTCTGTAACGCCACACAATTAATACCCATTCTAATAATTCACTAAAACTAACATTCAATATATCATGAATATTTATCTAACCTTGATTGGCACAAGTTTGAACTCCAAATTTTTCTTTATATGACAGAGGTGTAGACAGATCATATGTTCCTTCTAAGCATTTGCACACAATCTCACTGACACTTGTTCCCAATGGACTTTCTAAATCCTCCTGAGATTGCAATCCACATTTACAAATTTTTTCTGTTACTCCTATCTCTTTTGGATTTTCCTGGTCTTGACATTCTCCTACATCTTGAACTTCCACTCCATCAATAGATTCTACACATATTTGTAATCACAAAAAAGTTTATATGTATTACGCTATTGAATATAAAATTCAATGAAAAAAAATTCAAAATCTATATCTAACCTTTCCCTATATCAGTGACGTTCTCAGTTTCATCATCTAGATGTGCATCTCCAAAATCGCGATCATACTGAACTTCTGCATGCACATCCATATCATCATGTTCATCACCACCTGCATCTTTGTTAATTGCAACAGTAGGCTCAGTACCACGACAATGATCATCAACTCCATCTTTAGTAATTGGAACACTAGATTCTCTCTCTATGTTCCTTTCATCAGGTTTCCCATAAATCTTCAACAAAGTATCAAGCTTTGATCCTAGAGTTTTCTTTAAATCCTGAGAAAGAAACTAAGTTAGAAAGTTAAGGACATGTTCAAAAGTTAAGGACAGGAAGTCCTTAAGTTTGAATTACAGGTTGAAAAGTTAAGGACCTAAGTCCTTAAGTTTGACTTGCAGGTTCAAAAGTTAAGGACAGGAAGTCCTTAAGTTTGAATTCCAAGTTCAAAAGTTAAGGACAGGCAGTCCTTAAGTTTCAATTACAGGTTCAAAAGTTAAGGACAGGTAGTCCTTAAGTTTCAATTACAGGTTCAAAAGTTAAGGACATGCAGTCCTTGACTTTGAATTCCAAGTTAAAAAGTTAAGGACATGCAGTCCTTAACTTATAGTTTTAAGTTCAAAAGTTAACGACAACAGTCATTAACTTATAGTTTTAAGTTAAAAAGTTAAGGACAGGCAGTCCTTAACTTATAGTTTTAAGTTCAAAAGTTAAGGACACAAAGTCCTGAACTTGGACTAACTGAAATTAATGATATTACCATGATTTCATTCTCAATCTTTTTTTCTGCTACAGCTATTTTCTGATTTATTCTAGTAACTTCAGCTTGCAGATCCTTCTTAAAACTCTCTGATAATCTCTGAATCAAAAAACATAAAAACAAAAAAGTCTCATTAGCAAAAAATAATCAAATAAAAAACTAATGCTATTCAAAGGCAGAAAACCTACTTTAAAAATTTCCTTAAGCATGGCTTCATCAAATTGTGTGGAAGAAGGCATTGAGCTTTGATCTTGAGAAATTGGCTCGTCCACACTAAGAGGCTATGTATCTTCTTCAACAGGAATAAATGGTGACACCTCGATCAACT